GTGGTACTTACCGGATTGGAGACTTGGAGATTGTTGGGGTTGATACTTGGCGGCATCAAAGTTCGGACACCGGTTACATTTGGACTCTGTATCTCCGACATTGGTGACTGATTGTCCTCAACATTTTGATCTTGTTGGATGACATTTTGGACTACCTTATCGATGACCTATCGGATTCTATCTCGGTGACCTATCGGTGCTGTCTACCTCCCCCACCTCCTTCGTCTCTCCTTTCACCTTTCATCTGTGTATGTGTGTACGGGATCTGGGCATCATCTATGCTTGGCCCAGACCCCACCATCTCATGATTGTATGTGTGTGGAGTGATACCTATGTGAGTTAGTCTATGAGAGTCAGTCCGTTTATCAGACTTTCGCTGCGTATATGCTCAGCCTACATTGGTTGATCTTTGGTTCTGCCCATACTCATTGAAGTATGTAACACCTCACTTTGCCCATACAGTATTGAGTCGACCCCCGACTGTTTGAACCCGTGATCGGTGTTTTGGTAGTTGTCTGTGGTCTGTCGTAGGTCTGTGTAGCGGTAGGGGTTTGATCTGTAGGTCTGTCGATTAGGAGTCACAGCTCTATAGAGGTTGTGGCTCCTTTTGCGCTGAAAGGTCAGGGTCGTACCTGATATAGTCGTGAAAGGTCAAGGTCGTAGCTGCTACAGTATCCGAAAGGCCAAGTCCACAGCCTTCCGGAAGGTCCGGAAGTGGCCTTTCGAAGTGTCTCACGTTTAGTAAGAGGCAAGTGAGCAAGTGGAGGGGCTTTAGTCAGAGGCAAGTGGGTAAGTGGTGAGCCAACTGCGTTACATCGGCAGTGCAACCGCATCGAGTTGGCAGTGGAAACCCATGCAGTCAGCAGCACCGGTCCCAGTCAGTCGGAGTGCAATCAAGCAAGTCCCGTGTGGGACTGTGTGCACCAAGGGCCTGGGAAAAGGGCAGACCAACGAGTTACAACAGTATAAATCAAGAGGCAGCGCCCAGCCATTTATTCATTCACTGCGTGAGCCATGCGGAAGCGCTGCTACAGCATCTTGTGCGAAGGTGGTCTGTAGGTTGCCCGGTGTAGAAGTGGGCTGAAGGGAGACATAGTAGCCATAGTAGTAGTGGCGAGCTGCCATAGCCGCCGTAGGGTAGAGTTAGCTGATAGAGTGTGTGTGTGTGTGTGGAGTATTCAGGGTGATCCTGATTGAGCATGTGCAAGCAGTGGTGCCGGACACAGTGACGAGAGTGGGATGTACAGGCGCTGATGCGCCATAGCATGTTGAAGTGAATTTGCAACTAAACTTTGTTCTCGTTGTCCATATCTCTGAGCTTTGAGTGGGCACTCTGCGCCAGCGTGAATCGCCGTCTGTTTGCATGTATGCGAAGTGGAAAAGAAAGCGAGTCCGATTGCACAGAGAGAGAGAGAGAGAGAGAGAAAGAGAGAGAGAGAGAGAGAGA